TAAACAACAACAGAATTCACAATTCAAATGTAGCGAATCGAAAAAAAAATTGTATATTTTTTCAACAAAGTAAAGTGAGAGAAAAAAAACGAAACGAAACGATTCAATGAGAGAGACGGGAAAAATGATGAAGATTATATTTAATTTTGGCTACATTTTTTCAGAAAAAAATGTAGAATAGAGTAGAAGAAGAAAACATTGAAAATGAACCAATGATGATAATTCATTCATTTGAATTTCGGGTTTTACTCTTTGCATTCTTTGTTCGTACAGGGCACATATAATCAACATATATAGAGAATATATAAAGATGAAGGGGAAAAGATACAGATAAAGAAAAGGCTACAACGACCACCATAACCGACCACAAAAATCCAACTAAAACTTGGAGCCATTCGATGATGATGATGAAGAAGAAGAAGACGACAATCAGAAAGAAAAAAATTACATTACATACAAACAAACGCTACAAAATATTTTTCGCTACAATAATAATGTAAAAAATTTCGCTACACTTTGCGCATTATCAGTACAGACAAGTTTTTTTTCTCTTTAACTCTTTCCAATTCCAATTGAGAAAATAAAAATAAAAATAAAAGGAGAAGCTGTTGAGCTGATCATCATCTATCCATACATCCAGCCAGCCAAAATGATGAGAATGAAAATTGCGTGGATAGCAGCATTATGGATGAATGAAGGAAACTGAATATATGTATCCAACTTGGATTCTTTCAGCATCCTCATGATAGGCTACAATAAAAAAAACCAGTGGTAACAAAATTTGAATTTAAAGAATTTGCTTTGAATGTATAAAGAACTGAACTGAACTGGTAAAAATATTTTCCAAAAAAAAAACGAAATCGATGCGCATACGCAAATGCGTACACGCATACAATAATCAGCAACCAAAAAAAATCTATTTTTTGAATGCTACAAATGTAGCGATAGTTTCAAATGAAATGACACATGCGCTCATCAATGGTTAATATATGTTATCGTTGTAGCAGAAAATGACAACAAAAAAAAAATTGTTTTTATTTTTGGATTTTGAATTTTTCTTCTTTTTTTACTTCGTTTCGTTTTTGATTTGTACATTGTTGAAACAAAACGAAAATTATAAATACGCAGCACAACAGTATACAAAAACAAAACAAAATTTATAAACAATTTTATTGAATTTTTCTAATTCAATTGCTTCATCATCATCATCTTCGTGATGATCATTGTTGGAAATTTATCATTTGTTCGGTGTATTCAGCCAATACTATACGCGGCAGTGCAATTTAATTTGATAATTTTGAAAAAATTTTCGCTTCCTTGTTTCATTTTCCTACGAAAATAAATGGATTTTTGTGTGTGTGTGTGTGATGTGTTATTTTTCTTTCTCGTACTTTTTTTTTGTTGTTCAATTTACTTGAATGTGTGATTTACACAAGCACACAGAAGATATTCTTATCGCGCCATCACAAGTCAACTAAAATAATAACCTAACCACCCACGCAAACCCCCATCCATAATCAATCATAAAGCAACAGTTAATAAAGAAAGAAAAAGTTTATGAAAAAAATCCATGTGGTTGTTATTTCATTATTTTCAAACGCTGTTTGTTTTTTTTTGTTCATCAAATCAAATCAATCATGATGAACTAGAATCGTTATTTTATTTATTTATTTTTAAGCAACAACAACAAAATATTATTTTGGCATCGATTGGTATCGATGATGGTTGTTTGTTGTTTGGAAAAAACCCCATCATATTACATGGTGGTTAAGTTTTAACCAGAAAAAATATATGATTCTTGACAATTTTTTTTTCTCAATTTCAAATCAATTTCAATTTAATGTTATTTAATTTAATTTAATTTGATTAAAAAAATTATTATTTTTTCTTTCTTCCTTACTGTGAATGAAAAAGAAAAAGGGGAAGAAGAAAAAAGTAGCGATTCCATCGATTGTAGCAGATTGAAAATCCCCAAGAAAATACATCTACATTGACACTTGTACTGAAAAAATTTTTTGTATCCATTCATTTCAAATACTGGATACTTTTATTGATCATGCGTATTGTGTGTGTTCGGGTGTATTAACAATGAATATTTTTTCTGTATTCTTTCAATTCTTGAAATAAAGTTTTGGATACAAAAAACAAATTTTTCACAAATCCGATTATCATTCTTATCAATCAATAATGTATTTAAGATTTGGTGTGTCTCTCGCTCTCTGGCTTGTTTGAGTTGTATTTTGACAATCATTTTCTGATGAGAAAACAACATCAAATCAAGTCAGTCATTCATTGATGAAATGGAAACAAAAAGAATGTAGCCAAAATGATTTGAACATCAAGATGAAAACAACAACAACAAGAACAAATTAACATCGACAATGTAATAAATGAATGTAAAGAGTTTTTGACTTTCACTCTCTCCCACTCGTACTTTTCAAATGATTGATTTGATTGATTGATTTTTGAAATGAATTTTTTTCAAAATTTCAATGGTTATTATTAACAAGTTTTTCTCATTTAATTCATATCGTCTCGAACAAAAACAAAAAGCCTTGAACTTGAACAAAGATTCAAACATAATCCGGCGGATTCATTCATTCGAATAGACAAAAAAAGGGAAAAAATGGGTTCTTGGTTCGAGCACACACACCAATCAATATTTAACACGAACAACACTTTGTTTAAATGAGTTACAAATATAATTTCCAATATTGATTTAGCCAGTCTCTATTTTCTCATCCATCCATCGATTGATTGATTGCCGATGACAATTGGATGACAGCATTTTTTCTTTTTGTCAAATAATGTCGTCGCTGTCATTATCATTATATAATTCGATTGATGAAAACGACAATGATGGTGATAATAATGTCCACAAAATTTGATTGGGTCAACATTTCATTTTTCTTCGAGAGAAAAATCTAATTCAGGGAAGTGGATGGCAATTGGAAACATTTTTTTTTTTTGTTGAATTTGGAAATTTGTTTTTCATCAAACGATTGATTGTCGAATCATTATGATAATCATCATCATCATTTTTTGTAGGAATTACTCCAAAAAAACTGAAATTTATGAATAATGAGAAAAATAATTTCTATTATTTATTTTCTTGTTTGATTTGTAATGATCGTTTTCTTGGAAAAATTTCTATATAAATTCCCAAATACAACATCCGTTTTTGTTTATTTACATAACGAAGAAAGAAATGGAAACAGTAAAAGAAAATTGATGGAAAATTTCTCCCTACAATTTTCTGTCCATTTACAACAACAAAAATATGGCTACTTAATTTTCGATTAACGTTTTTTTTGATTGATGATATTTGTCCCAAAAGTTATAGCAGAAAAAAATGAAATTTTAGAAAATTTCAGGAAAAAACAAACAAAAAAAACTTTAACCACTTTTGATCGCCATCTATCGGATGATCCATATTTTTTTGGAAATTTGAATTTTTGATTTTTTTGACAAACAAAATAATTATCACAGAATCCGACATTTACATTCGCTAACCGCTAATTAAAGAGAAAAAAATATTCAGTATTCTTTTAACCCTATTTTGGTTAATTATCATCACATTTTTCCCCGGAAAACACACTCGAACTGAATATAAATGAATTTCCCTTTGAAAATAATAATATCAGTTACAAAAAAAACCGATACATTTAGAAATTCCATCAGTGGAATCACAAAAAAAAAATTTGGCTACTATAGCTACATGTATCGATTGATTAGCTACATTTAGCTACATAAACTCTGTTATTTTTCCTTGAAGAAATTTGAAGGAGAAAAAAAAGAGTTAATAATGAATTCTTAATGGCTTTTTTTGTTGTTTTCAATGTAAGAAATTTTTTAATCACGAAATTTTTGAAAATGAAAATACAATGTGTACAAATGTAATAAGATTATGAAACGATATTTTTCATTCACTTACACTGTTTATTTCATAATTAATAAATTGGTTACAAGATTTCTTTCTTCAAACGTTTTTTTAAAAAAAACAAGAAAAATGAATAATGATGATGATTGAAACATAGAAACAAACAAAAAAGATATTTTCAAAATCTTTAATCGCTACAATAGTATCCAATTGAATTTTGATAAGTTATTTTCCCTTTACATTGGATGATTGAAGAAGAGAAAAAATTTTCCCACTCTCACTCTCTTTCTAGATTTAATTACATTTCCTTTTCTGTCAATCATCAATCAACAAATATGCCGTTATGTTATACAAGAAGAAGAAGAAGTAAGAAAACATTTAAAGGATGATAAATCTATCAAGGTCATCATCATCATTCGCATTGAATTTTCATCAGTTTTTTTGTTCTTCGAAGAAAAAAAAACATTGATTTTGACAACTTTGGATGCCAATTCCCCAAAAAAAAAAATTCATTTGAAATCCAAAAACAATTTTAAAAAGAAGCGACATCTGACGAGTTAAACTCGAAAACAAAACATGAATTTATTTACATTTTTCAATTACTAGATGGCGATGATTATTCTGTAAATTTTGAACCAAAAATGGCTGGGAATTATAAAAAAAATCGGACTAAAATTCCCGGTACAGAATAACCGGATTTCGTTTTCACTTTCAAATCAAAATCAAGCGATACTTTTCCATATTTAAATAATCATAATTTTATTGCATCATTTGGAAAATATTAGGCAAACATGTTTTCTGGTTTGTTTTGTTTTTGTTTTTTTTTTTTGGTTTCACGATAAACAATTAGACAATAATGTTGACAAGACAAGAAAAAGATGTTGATGTAAGAAGTGTTAACGTAAGTGTGTGTGTGTTTAGTGTGAAAGAGATGATGTAAATATGAAATGAAATTGTATTGTTGCAAGTAAAGTGTTAATTAATTAATTTTTCCAAAATTGAAAATTATTTACAAAGAATTCAACCAAAAACGCGAAAACAAGAAAACAAAGAAACATTTTTTCAGCTAAAAAAATCGATTGAAATTTCAATGAAAATATTGTTCGAATGTTATGTTATGTAATGATAAATCAACCAACCAATCAATCAATCAATCGACCAATCAATCAATCGATATCATATTGATTTATTTTACTTCAATACTAGCTGTATGAATAGTGGTAGTGGTGTTTGTGTGTATCTTGTATGTTGCGAAAATAATAAAAATGTCTAAAAATGGCTAATAACCGAAAAATGAATCTACAAAGAAATTTATAAACAACAACACGGTTAATAACAACAACAACAACGAGAACGACAACAACAACAAAATCAGTAAACGGAAAAACTCTATGAACAAGATACAATAACATTAGTTCCCATTGATAATACCGATGTTGGTACCGAACCGTTAATTGATTGTTGTTGTTGTTGTTGCTGATGATGTTGCTGTTGTTGTTGTTGTTGATGTTTAACAATTTTTTTATTATTCAAATGTTGTTGAGCATTATTATTCGATGTTGTCGATTCATTTGATGATCCATTTTGATGATTATGGTGATGGTTTGTTGTTGTCGCTGTCGTTGATGATGATGATGATGCGGCTGATGTTGCTACAGGTGCTGGTGGATCTTCCATCCATTTATCCTGTGAACGACGTCTTGCATTCATAAAAAAATTACCAACCGTTGATAATTCCAATCCTAATTGTTGTGAAATAGTAATTTGCATTTCTTTTGATGGACGTTTTGTTTCTTTGAATATTGCCTGCAAAGTACGTCTTTGTAGATCGGTAAATACAAGACGTGGTTTTTTCGGATGTTGTGACGATGATGATGATGATGATTTATTCGTTGAATGTTGCTGCTGTTGTTGTTGTTGATGATGTAATGAATTATTTATCGTTGACGATGACGTTGATGATGCTGATGATGATAATGTTGTTGATGTTGTTGTTAATGTTGATGATGATGATGATGTTATTGTGGTTGATGATGTTGATGATAATGATAATGGATGATGATGATTATGATTATTTAATTGTATTGGATGGCCAATATTATTACCAATCATTATTGATGAATTACCACCATTGGATAAAACACCACCACCACCATTCATGCCACCCATTGAACATGGTTGATGTTGCTGCTGCTGCTGCTGTTGTTGTTGTTGCTGCTGCTGCTGTTGTTCTTCTTTACGTTTACAAGCTTTTTTGGTAGAAAAAAAGAAAGAAGAAATTTTTTGGTTATAATTAGAATGAAATTCTTTTGAAAATAATCAATAAGTAAATAGGAAAAGAAAAGATGTTTCAAATTCAAATATTAATTATGATTTTCATCAACAAACAACAGAAAAAAAACGAAAACCCCGTAAGCTAATTGAATCAATCGAATCAAATAAATTGATTATGAGGATGATGATGTTCTTTGTCGATGAAACAATCGAAAAAAATTAGATTGAAAAGAGCCTCAAGGCTTTTTGTTTCTCTTGTTGTTGTTGACCACAATCAACCAATGATATTCAATCAATAATGATGATGATAACAATAATTAATAAAGCAGAAAACAAAACTCAAACCAGAAACCCGAAAATATCCACCAAATGCAAAAAAAAATCCCAAAAGAAGAAGAAAAAAACCAGCAGCTAATTTTCGACCAATCTCTCTCTCTCTCTCTCTCTCTCTCTCTCTCTCTCTACGATTTTTTAATTCAATTTTTTTTTCTATTCTCGGGCATTANAAAAAAAAATCCCAAAAGAAGAAGAAAAAAACCAGCAGCTAATTTTCGACCAATCTCTCTCTCTCTCTCTCTCTCTCTCTCTCTCTCTCTCTCTCTCTACGAATTTTTAATTCAATTTTTCTTTCTATTCTCGGGCATTATTCAACAACAACAACAACAACAACAACGGACAGAACAAAAAAATGTGGACCAAAGATTAATCAACAACAAAGTTGTGATATAATCAATAATCACACATGAATTGTAGTTGTGTGTGTGTGTTGACCATAACATCGTTGTCATTACGAAAGTAAAAAAAATATATTCACGGTACGGTTCAGTTAACCCTTTTTTCCCCATCGTAATACCATAAGGGATAAATGTCCTTTTTTTTTGTCTGTTTGGAATGAAAACAAAACAAAAAAAAACGAAAACATCAACCATCAGTAGCTAAAGCAAAGTCAGCATTTTATTCATGTCGAATGAAATTAACCAAAAATTAGCTTGGCAAAAGAAAAAATATTCAACCAACCAACCAACCAACCAAAGAGAGAATCATCAGAGATAAAAACATTTGGAATTTTGCTATCGCTGTCGCGATTGTTGTTGATTGGAAATGATTGAATTTAGAAAATCACAATACCGTGAATGAATTATATACGTTTGAAACACATTGGAATTTTCATATGTGTGTGTGTGGAATATTTTCTTCCATAGAATAAATGTCCTTTCACCAGAAAAAAAAATCCAAATGTGTCAATCATTGACTTTTCACAACAGGAATTGTTACGATAGTGGTCAAATAAAAAAAGTGTTAAACGCGTGTTTTGTTCCACAAAAAAATTCCAAACATTACATTATTCGACATTATCATTCGGTGATTTTTCTATCAATTCAATCATCATATAATATTCTGATGAGCGAAATGATTCTTGTCATTCATTCATGCATTGTGAAAAAAAGATTGATAATTTTTGTTTCATTTTCGATCCAAAAGAATGATAATAGTTTTCAAAAAAAGCCAAACGTAGTCTATGGACAGGAAAGTTTCCGGAAATTTTTTTCCCACCAAACAATTGTTACGAAACATTGTTTTTGAACTCAAAAAAATAAACATTTTTACGTAATAAGATTCAAATAGTGTCTGTTTGTGTGTTGGTTTGGTTGTCTTAGTCATATTTTTGTTGTGTATATTTTGATGGAAAAAAGGAAAAAAAAAATTTCGAACGAAAGAATCGATCGATGAAGAATATTCGATGCCATGGAGGTTCGTTTTTTTTCCATACACCAAGTTGAACTTCTTATTTCCATCATCATCATCATCAATCGAAGAATGAATTTTTTTTTTTTTTTGGATACTGAAATGTTGATGAAGAGCGAGAGCGAACGCAAAAAAATCGATCGAAAATTTATACACACACAGAGAGAGAGAGAACAGCGAGACAAGGGAAAACAACAAACGAAAGAATATTCTGAATGACTGACTGGCTGGCTGGTGAAAAGGAATAGAAGAATAAATAAATATCGACCAAAGTCATCTTTCTATGGTGGAAAAAAAAGAAGAGAGGAAAATTCTATGTATTTTTGTCATGAAACAAACAACAGGAACAATTCGATTGCCACTTTCATCGATTTTTTTTTTTTGGTTCGCTAAAGCTTGGTTTCTGCCATCATCATCATTACGTCCATATCCAAACGAATCATAAAAATATTCTAGGGGCGCCCTAGGACCATGTATGTAGAGCATGTTTGGTCGATTCTGGGCGCCATCATCATTATTATTATTATCATGGAGAACAACGACAACAACATGATTGAAATTATACTTTACGGCTTTTTTTTTGCAAAGATCGATAATTTTGTCAGTTGCAAACGAAACGAAATAGAAAAAAAACAATGGTCGTTGTTGTTGTTGTTTTGGGAAAATGGAAAATGGCAACAACAACAAAACAACAACAACGGAAAAAAGAATTGATAATGATTGTTTGCCCTTTTTTCGCATTCAATTCTCCGTTTTTTTTACATTCAACAAGAATAAAGGAATTTCTTTTGGTACTTTTGGGTGTTTTAATTATTCATAAATTCTGTTACCGGAATTCTGTGGAAAAAAAAGGAAGTTGAACAACAAGGTAGATGTTGTAAACCTTATGGAGATGTTTTACAAAGGTAGAAAATAAGAAAACCTATGTTCAATTTGTTGGTCGCCATTTTTGACATTTATGGCTACACACGCTGTACACATACATGAATGAATGATGTACAATATATAGCAGCAACAAGAAGAAAAACCAAACCAAATGGAAAAAATTTTTACCAGAATTGAAATTCTGGGCGCAACTTTTTTTCTTCATCATGATGATGATGATGATGTTCTATTTCAACACAAACAACACACAGATATATAATGTACACACACAGTGTGTGTGTATATATCTCATGGCGCCATCTCAATTAAACATCTTTACTATTCTTTAACGTGTGTGTGTGTGGGTGGCTTTTCACACACACAAACATATATATGGCATTCTATGTACAGAATTCAAAAAAAAGCATATTATATTCTGTATCGAGAGAGAAACGAATGTAACCAACCAATGAAAAACAAGTATATCAAAATGATGATGATGATGATAAAAAGAAAAAAGTTGGGAGCCATATTATAGGCTCAATGAAAATGGGAGCCATTCATAAATGGAATAACGTTTGCTTCTTTACAGCAAAAAATAATTGTTGATGATTTGAATTTGATCCAAACAATGTATTCAACAAATGTGATAATCGATTGGTCATTGATTTTCAGAGAGCAAAAAAATCCAAACCTGTTGTGTTTGACAGTAAGTGTGGAAGGAAAAGAGGAAAAAAAATTGATTCATTGATCGGAATTTTCCATCATCATCATCATATTAAACCAACAAACAATGTCATCATTATATGACGATGATGACGATCGATCAACCCGAAACACACAGAAACGAAATAACCGCACCAAAAACGAATAACAGCAGTGAAGAAAAAAAATCGAAATCCCGTATTCCAAAATCGAAATATGATCTTTTTTTTGAGGGGTGAGGATGGCGGTGGCGGTGGATGAAAAACTAAATCGAAATCACTTACTACACACTATACATCCTTTAAGATAGGACAAATCTTCGACCCACGGTTAACTACAATTTTTTTTTCGTCGATTTCATTGATTTAACCCACAGAGAAAAAAAAATCAGTAAAAATCATTGATTCAGCCAGTCAGTCAGTCAGTCAAAGTTAGCCGGTCGATTGTTTTGAGATGGTCGATCGAAATCTTTGAATTCGATTTTTTTTTTCGTTATCTTTCTCTCTGTCCCACTTCTACTATTTTATATTAACTAGTAACAGCATTGCTAACTAGTTAACAAAAAAAAGTAGTAGTTGTAATAATAGTAGGTTATAACTACCTTCGAAAAAAAAATATGATTATATCGATTTCCGTTACACTTATCATCATCATCGTGAAAAGGATTCTGTTATTCTTGGGAGGGGGGAGGGTTTCGATTTTTATGTCAACAACGATCGATGATGATCAATGACAAAAACCAAAGCCAAAAAAATCTGATTCACACCTTTAACCAAATAAAAACATTCCGTTTACCACCCCCCTAAAACAAAAATCAATTAATCGAATTTTCATTTTTCTTTCTTCTTGAAGTAGTAGGGGAAACTGCGGACGATTGAAATCAATAATAATGATCACAGACACACACAAACAAAGATCAATAACAGTGAAACGAAAAAAATCGAAATGTGTGGCAAAGAAAAAAATTATTGAATTTTTTCCTCCCTAAATCAACTCCACATCTCGTTTTTTTCAAAGGAAAAAAA